AGCTGTGCATCAATTTGAGCAATGTGCCCACTATGCACTGTTTGTTTCTGCTCATTTTCCTTTAAAAACAACTTATTATTCGGAGCACCAAACATTCAAAAAGTGTAAGATGTACAGTTTTGGGCAAGAACAAAATCTGTATGATGTATTTTAAATGTAACAAAAAGTAATTGTGAAGTCAAGGTTTTTTTTCCTATGAAATTAGATAATCACTCTGCTAATGAGAGGAAACGTATACATACTTAAGAGTGGTGGGACGTATTGTCTTGAGCCCAAGGGGACAGAATATGTCCTGCTTAATTAATACAATAGAGAAGACATATATTGCATGACATCGAAACTCATATATTATACTTTAGACTTTACACTGATTTATTGTACTGTGGATAACCTTGCTCTTCTGAAACTAGAGACTCCTCACTTATTTGTTAATCTTGTACTTTACATCTTGCAACCTGACATAGAAAGATAAAAACAATGCTAACATCTTAATAATAGTCTTCAAGGCCTTTATGCAATGAATGACAGATTCAGGCCTTGTGTTGTGCAACACTCCTTTAAAGATTGCAATGTCAATTCAGTACTTAATGGGTTAAGGGCAACCAAGGTATAAACTGCAGTCAATAACAATTAAATTGTATTCATAAAATTTGCAGCAAAATATTAAGTTAAACTAATTACAGTATTTATTTGCCTGGCAAGCACCACACTGCCATTTCATGTCACATCTTATAATAATGCACTGAGGAAATGCTTTGTGCTATTATACAATAAGGCATGAAACACCCATCTGATACATAAACATATCCCTATCCACTAAGAAAGATGATGATTACATTTTGTAGTTTATTCCCATCAAACTTATACATAACAAGGAGTAGGATGCAATCGTCAACAGGGGGGTGGTATAAAGTTAAGATTTTCAAATCAGTCAGCCACTCATCTATTGCTCTTTGTAGAGTATTTTTTAATAATTCCACTGCATTAACTGATTTCTCATACTGAAGAGTAAATGGACTCTGTGGCTTTTTATGCATCAATAAGCATTAAAGTCTAAAGTAGTTAAACAACATGCTTGTCACCCCTTCTCTAATATCTATTTTTTTAAAAAAGATGAGTGGAGCTAAGCTTTTTTTCTAAATGGCAATGATACATTTAATTCCCCTTTTAAAATTTTCAAAACCAACATACAGTAGCCACAAAACATGTCAGTAAAAAGGAAGATAAGGTGGGTTATATATTTTAAAACGTTTTTTCAAACCATTGTACTATTCTTTCAAGGCAGTACTGGACATCCCTGTGTAAACCTTGCAATAATATCTCTCATAAAGTCTGCTTATTAACTTTAATAATTATCCAGTTAATCTTCAAACAAAAGCTGAGTTCATTTTCAACCTTTCAGAGTATGTTTTCACTCTCGGGATGTACACAGGGTCTTTAAATTCAAAATATCTTTCAGGCGAAAATAAATATAAAGGACTAACAGAGAGCATGAAAGACATGATTTTAACTCTAAACAGTGCATTCATTCTTCTAACAATGATAAAATAGTGTTTACAAAAAATGAAAACAAAGGACTAGTTGTGTCACTTTACATTAACTGAAACTTGATGAGGATAAAGAGTTATCAAGACTGGGTGCTGTGAATGTTATCCCTGCAACATGTGATACAGCCAGTTTCTCTTTTAAATTGATATGGGTTATTAAAGAGTGCAATACAATGTGTACGTAGGAACATTGCGATGTGTCATATGTTCTTAAGCATAAAAAGATCAAAGTAAAGCTATTAATGGGTGGTGTAAAAATACAATTGTTGGCAGCCATCTGGTACAGCTTGTTATTTTATAACACATCATGTAAGTGAGAATGCACACAATGGCATTTTACTAGTTGAAGCGTTTTTCTTAAATCAAAGCCTATTATTTAGTAGTGAGAAAAGGCGAGGAGTTTTGTAATTTACTGCCCATCTCCCTTTAAAGTGATATGGCTAATTATTACTCAATGACTAAGTAATACACTGAAAGCCTTTGTGAGCAGATTAAACCTTTCACCAGCTGAATTGAGATGCAGTACTGTCTGGTGAAGGCAAGATCTGTTTTGTATGTGAATGGTTTCAAAGTTCATTATTCTAAAATATATTGTGTTTGCAATCCTATATGTCCTTCTGGAACAGGTACTGTAGTAAATGCAGGTAAAGTGGTTGGTGTTGGTTGGGGTGGTGGGGGTGGGGGGGGTTACAGGCTGCTACTGATCTTCCTGCTGTGTCTCATGTCCTCTCAGAGGAACACTGTGAAGCAGTTTATTATCCCAACATACGAGGATGTGCAACATACTGGACATCTCTTGTGGTGAAGTTGAGGGTAAACCAAATACAAGGAAGATAGGTGCTGTTGTTAGCTGGCACTGACTTTTTTCCCCCACCAAAAAAAACAGTCACAAAGGGCACAAGACATGTTACAAAAAAAAAGGGGGGGGGAGGGGGAGACACCTCGCTGCAACTGTATCGATCGCAAAGTTTCACAGCTAGAAAAGTTTCAGGATAGCTCCCAGCTCAGCATTGCACACCACAGCACAGCTCAGCATTGCACACCACAGCATTGCACAGCACAGCTCAGCACTGCACAGCACAGCATTGCACAGCACAGCTCAGCATTGCACAGCACAGCATTGCACAGCACAGCTCAGCACTGCACAGCTCAGCATAGCACAGCATAGCTCAGTTCAGCACAGCACAGCTCAGCCAGGACAGCATAGCATAGCCAGGACAGGACAGCCCAGCTCAGCCAGGACAGGCTGCTGCTGCTGCTGCTGCCCTTTCACAACACAGGACACTCTTAGCAAACAACTAACTAACTGCAGGGCAATCCCGGCGATCGCTGGGGGCTCTCCCTCCCCCCCCCCCCCCCCCCCCTCTCTCTCTCTCTCTCTCTCTCTTTTGTTCGGAATTTACTTTTTTTATTTCCCTTCAAATTATTTCTCCCTTTCGCCAGTGAGAGGCGAGTTCTCGAGTAATGCACATCATACTACAGCGGTCTCTGATGACTTTTCAAAGTGAGCCAAGGAAGAAGGTGGGAGTGTGGGGGGATGTTTGTGTGTGTGTGTGGGGGGGGTGACACCTAAGACACACTTTGCATTAAAACCAGAAACACTAAAGATGCTCAGTGGTGGATTCACTTTTTAGGAGTCCAGATCCAGATCCAGATCAGCAGGTGGTGTTTGTTGGAAAGACCAGGTCTTGGGCTGCAGCTGATCCAGTTCCTTATCCCCCAAGTAAACAGATCTGCTGTGAGATGCTACCACAGTAAAGCTGCCCTTTTCAAGGCTTCTGCACTGACTGCTCTATTGATCGCTGTGGTGGTGTGTGTGTGTGTGTGGTGTGGGTGGGTGGGTGGGTGGGTTTGGGGGGGGGGGGTATTATTTGGAGGTAGGGGTAGTGAGCAGGTGGCACTGTGGGGAGTAAAATCTGCAACGAATGATTAGCTGGAAGCTGCTGTGTGTGGTGTGGTGTGTGTGTGTGGTGATGGCAGTGAATGGTTGTTCCCAGTGGAGCTGATCCTCGGGCTGTCTGTCCCGGGAGGAACCCTCCAGCTTCTCCCCCTCCACAGCCCGTGCCACCCACACATAGACATCTCGCAGCCTGTGTCCCCCTCACTGGCTGAAGCCCACCCCCTCTTTCTCCAGCACTACTATAACAGGGGGCAAAACATCTTCCTCAAGCTGGGGGGGGGGGGGGGGGGTTCTCGTTGTTGCAACTTGTTACATCAACTTTAACCTGGAGCCCAGTCAGACTTTGGGACCAGGAAAAAAGTGGCTGGAGTTTTAAAAAAGTTTTACACACACACACATAACTCTGAGTTAAAACTTTTTTGCCAGCAAACTTTCGACTTATTGGTCTTGAAGGATATATATTCTGAACAGCTGCCCCACACCTTTTTCGTGTACAGGCACTTTCTCTGAAACTATGAGGAAGTTGCTGGTTTGCAACAAAAAGTTGGAAAGTAGAAGCAACATTTAGAGTGTGACTTTGAAGTGAAACTGACTTGTCCCTCTGCGCCGTGAAACCTCAATGATCCTCTACTGCTCTAACTCTGCTCCCGGTGTAACTGCTCCCGCTCTACCTCTGCTCCAACTCTGCTCCTGCTCTAACTCTGCTCCCGGTGTAACTGCTCCCGCTCTAACTCTGCTCCCGGTGTAACTGCTCCCGCTGTAACTCTGCTCCCGGTGTAACTGCTCCTGCTCCAACTCTGCTCCTGCTCTAACTCTGCTCCCGGTGTAACTGCTCCCGCTCTACCTCTGCTCCCGGTGTAACTGCTGCTGCTCTAACTCTGCTCCTGCTCTACCTCTGCTCCCGGTGTAACTGCTGCTGCTCTAACTCTGCTCCTGCTCTAACTCTGCTCCCGGTGTAACTGCTCCCGCTGTAACTCTGCTCCCGCTCTACCTCTGCTCCAACTCTGCTCCTGCTGTAACTCTGCTCCTGCTCCAGCTCTAGCTCTGCTCCTGCTCTACCTCTGCTCCTGCTCTACCTCTGCTCCTGCTGTAACTCTGCTCCTGCTCTACCTCTGCTCCTGCTCTAACTCTGCTCCCGGTGTAACTGCTCCTGCTCTAACTCTGCTCCTGCTCTACCTCTGCTCCTGCTCTAACTCTGCTCCCGGTGTAACTGCTCCTGCTCTACCTCTGCTCCTGCTCTAACTCTGCTCCCGGTGTAACTGCTCCTGCTCTAACTCTGCTCCTGCTCTAACTCTGCTCCTGCTCTACCTCTGCTCCCAGTGTAACTGCTCCTGCTCTAACCCTGCTCCTGCTCCAGCTCTGCTCCCAGTGCAACCGCCCCCCCCGTGCTCTAACTCTGCTCCCGGTCTAACTTCTTGCTGGTGCTGCGGTCCGGCGCCGCGGCTGCGCCGGCGGTGGAGACGCGCCGCCCCCCCCCACCCCCACCCCCCGGGGCTCGGTCCGACTCGCCTCCTGTGGCTCCGGACGTGGCCGGGGACCTCCGGGGACCTTACCTGGCGTTGGTGCAGTCGTTGTACAGGGTCTCGAAGTCCTTCCTGGATATGAGTTTGCACCGGTTGACCCCGGGCTGGATGGCGCCGAGCCCCCTCAGGATGCGGACCTGCTCCACGTTGCAGACCACGGGCGTTATATCCAGCCTCTTGAGCTTGGTGTAGACGGTGTGCAGACCCCCGACCAGGTGCTTGAGGAACAGGTCGAAAGCCTGGGGCAGGCAGATCAGCTCGTGCCCGTCCACGGTGAACGACGCCACCTTGGCGCCCCTCAGCTCGACCATCTTGCACTCGTTGTTCTGCGGCGTGTTCTCCACCGGGGACGGCGTGGAGTAGACGGGCTTGGAGCTGCCGTCAGCCCGGTACAGGCTCGGTCCCGGTCCCGGTCCCGGTCCAGGTCCCGGTCTGGCGGCACCGACACCGACCGCTGCTGCTGCTCCTCCCGCTGCTCCTCCCGGCACCGCCGAGGACGACGAGATGCAAGAGATGGCCGGGGACGAGGAGGAGGAGGACGAGGAGGAGGAGGAGGAGGAGGACGAGCTGGAGGCAGGAGCCGAGCTGGGAGGCTGCGGGAGCGGGGCTGGTGGCATCAGGGCAGCCGGCGCGGCCATGGTCGCTGGTGCATATAGAGAGAGGAGAGAGGAGAGAGAGAGAGACCGCCCTGTCCTGTGTGTGTGTGTGTGTGTCTGTCCCCCCCCCCCCCACCACCACACACCCTCCTCTTACCTCATCAATTAATGCAATAATAATAATAACAATAATAATAATAATGATTGCAAGTCGTCCTCCCCCCCTCTCCCCCCGCGTCCCCCCAAAAAGGTGGGGGGGTTTTGGTGCTTGTTTTGTTGTTTTGAGTTATTTTGAGTGGTTGTGGCTGTTGCAAGTTGTCTGCCCTTTGGCTGTGGCTGTGTCGAGTGCACCTCTCTCTGCCTGTGGTTGGAGAGTTATTATTGTTGTTGAGAGATACAGACAGTCACACACACACACACACAGACAGGGAGAGAGGGAGAGACGGAGTGTGAGAAAGGAGAAGAGAAGAGATTGAAGGGCTGGCGGACTCACTCTCTCTCTCTCTCTCTTTCTCTCTCACACACACACACACATAAACATCAAAAGGAGAAATGACTTGTCACACGGCATCCCGGGGGCGGAGCAATTAACTTTTCCGGGCAGGAATAAATCAACCAGCAGCAAAGCACCCCTTCCACTCACACCAGGACTTTAACAAGCACGTAGCAAAGAGAGGGAGAGAGTATTAACACCCAAACGGGACAGGTCTGCACAATATACACACAGACACACAGACACACACAGACAGACAGACGAGGGGCAACTTTTCAATGCATAAAAAAATGGGATCGTTTCTCTCTTTCTCTCTCCTCCTCTCTCATCAAATGAAGACACTGGGAACCCCAGAGGCAGACACAGCCCGTGGACCAGGTCTGGCTCAGGTAACAGCAGCAGCAGCAGCAGCACTGCAAACAGGCGCTTGCAGCAATAGATGGAAATGTAGCCTCAGCTACAGATTGCTGCACCCAAACCTTTTTAAGCACAGCAACACTCAACACGAACCTCTTTTTTTTTTTGCCCGATAAACCAAGCAAACAAGGTCGTCCCTTCCATCTGATGGCTGTACTGTACTTTTATACAGAGCATTGAGGGGAGGGAGGGGGGACACACACACACACGAGATATCAAGCAGATCAACTTTGGAGATAGTTTAAACGAGGCGTCAGCAGCCAGTTACATCGTTGCTGTACAAGGCAAGTGAGATTATATTTAAAAAGGGGGAGATTACAGCACACACTCTTTAAACCAGGAATAAATCAAGATTGCCCTCCAGCTATACCAACGCCTTCATTAACCAGAATAGAAGGGAAAACATATGGTATTAAAAGAATGGGGAAAACGTCACAAAACTTTAATAATATAGAATCAGAAGATCTGAGTTTAAGGTCAGTGATATCCCTCGGCGAAATCTTGTTATATATATACATATATATATGCAAACAAAGCAATACCAAACTTACTAAAAAACACACCAGGACTGAACGAACAAGAGCAGGGATTTTTTTTCACTCTGAAGCATGCATGAGTTAAAGCTTGACATTAGATTTGTTTTAAAAAGATTCAAATAAACAGAATAAACAAAAGTCGAATTTCCAAAACGACTGCACAGATGCAACGTGTTTTAAAGCACTATAAAATGCAAATATTCTTTTTCCCCCAAAACACAGAATTGTCAAAATCCACACACGAAAGTAATCAAATGGCACAGACGGGAGTCAGCCTCAGCTCAGTACATTAGTAGACAGATCCTTTCCTCGTACACCGTTAACTCTTTCCATTATTGTCCACATTTGTAAAAAGCTTTTTTTTAAAAAAAACAACAAATCTGTCAAGTGTGCAATGACTGACTCATTTCAGGGGAAAACAGCTTTGAAAAAAAATGAAGCAAATGAAGTTAGAATTGTTTACAGATCAATATGTTCCTGGTTCAGCACCTGTCATCTTACTTCTCAAATTAATTCTGTAGCTGACACTCAAAATGCTGTTTTTTCAGTATGTGGAAGTAATAATTACTCTTAATGCAAAATAAGTCAAATAAAAACTCACTTGCTTTCTTTAAATGAAAGATATCGTATTTATTTAGTCAAAACTCTCCCTGTATTTCTTCCCCCACTCCCCCCCCCACCCCCCCAATAAATGAATGTAGTCCCTTAAGTGCGGAAGCGGCAGATTGTGGTGGAAAATAAATCAATAACATCATTTAAATTCACAAGGTCTGAGACAATGGCTTCCAATTTGCCCTTTTGTTGTTGTCCTTTGCAGATCTCAGGCTTTAATTACAGTTGATAATGTTTGGTGCGCAGCGCCCAGTCACTGCAACACTGGCTGCAAACTGTCGGCATCTCCCACCTCACCACCTCACCCACTCACTGCTGCAAACTCAACCGGGTTTTAGTTTTGAACATCGTCAAAAATGAGGTGTCTGAGGTCTCACCCCCCAATACCACAACACTGACCTGACCTTAATAGGGAATGAGAGAGGGGGTGGGGGGGGTTACATGCAGTGCATGTGTTTTCAACAAGTCTCTCTTTTCACCTCTTCCCCCACCACTCACTCAGATACTTTTGCCATTCGCCACTGCAGCTGCAGGCACTGTGGGTGGAAGGAAGGTGGGTGCAGATGGTTATTTACCTAAAAAGCAATTTGTTTTCCATATTCGCAGAGTGTATACGTGAGCTCAGGAGCTGTGAATAAACATGGATTAGCTCCCAATGCAGCTGACAGTCAAACTTGAGGTTCATTTAAATAGCGACCAGAAGGATCTCATGATTAATAGATGCAAGTGTCGAGCTGGTATTCCAAGCACGACCCACAGTAATTGTGTTTGCTTTTAATTGAAGGCAGGGCACTTCAAGAACTTGCATTTGAATTCACATGGAAGGGATAAAATACGTTTTGACCGGAGATATGTAGAAGAAGATAAATGTTGATCTGACAAACATGCGACACCTCGCAATCGGTAGGAAATAAAATCGTTGGTAACATATAACCGCGCAGCCACAACAAATAATGGCAAGAATTTCCATTTCAGCCTCACAGACCAATGCCAGTCACCCTTTTGCCTGTCCAGTCTGCTGGGCTGTGCTGATTGTAACTTGTTACAGATCACAACACGGAACAATAATCTCCAACAGCACTGCAACACACAGACATAACCCTGAGCGACATTACACACACACATCCTGCAAGACTGACAACACAACCATCACAAAGCACCACTGCACACACACACTACACACACACACTACACACAAGCGTAACACACACTACACACACACTGCATATACACACACTACACAATGACTCAGTCTGCATCGCTGTACCCTGACACCGTGAAGGGTTACTGTTGTACACTCTTGTCCTCACTTATCACAACCCCCGGGTTCAGTGGCTCCACATTTATTTGTGGGAAAATGACTGCAAGTTCGGAGTTAGTGAGCAGCTCAGTTCCTCCGTAAAATCGCCTACAAATCGGACCGCACTGTTTAATAAAGACATCTGTAATGCGAATAAGGAGAGTTCAACAGCGGCAGAGAATCGTAACACCTGAACTGTTTGAAACACCTGTTTGTTCAGCAGCCAGTGACACCTACAGTGTGTTCGGTAACGTCTATATTCATACAAGGACACCATGATATACCGTCTGTATTGATACAAGGCAATGAGCCCCCCGTTATGTGGAAGCGTGTGGTTTGCATAGTGCAATGTGAGTTGGAGTTGCACACACACAACACACACACAGTGCACACACACAAACACACTTGTGCCCGCAACTCCCAATCCACACTGCAATCTGGAAAGTCACACGCTTCCACAGAACGGGAGGGTCCATTGCTTTTTTTTTGGAAAAAAAAACAACTCCAGAAGCAGCAGCGAAGAGTCTGGTCTCTTGTCTGTCGCCAACAACAACAACAACAACAAAAAAACACATATTTTTTTTCCCCCCCCCTATTCAACCCGGGTTTGGCTTGCAGTCCTGCTGTGCAAGCATTCCGGGACGATGCACTCTCCCCATCCTCAGTTAATGAATAAAAAAAAGGGGGGAAGAAAAATAATAAACTCTTAAGCTATACGCACTGACCCCCCCCCCCCCCACGGATTGAACGTCTCATCTTCGCTCGTGTAAATGAAACGTGCATTTCACAAACCACTGACAAGTGCAACCCCGTGTGTGTGAGTGTGTGAGTGTGTGTGTGAGTGAGTGTGTTAATAGCCATGGACTGGGTCCAGGCAACATCTTCACATCTCGTACAGCGAGCGACAGACAGACAGACAGGACGGGGAACCCAATCACGATTGCGAGCAAATGTTTTTTTTGTGTGTGTGTGTGTGCGCGTGTTGTCTGGTTAAATGCAAATAATTAAGTCGAGTTGATCAATAATTGACATAAAGATAACACGCCGCACCGCGTCGTTAATCGGAGGGATGCAGCGACCGCACTCGTAACGCTCTTTTGCGGCAAAGCATCGTTTTTGCACCGGAGGGAGAGCCGCAAACACGTGCATTGCTCAAACCTCCAGGGTTGCGGGAGAGGCCCGACCCAAACTGAACCGAACTGAACTAAATGCACATGGCAAAGGCACAGGTCCGTCTGGTCTCCACACGTCCACCCCCCCCGTCCCCCCCCGTCCCCTGTGATCCGGTCGCTCCTCGTCAGTACCATCGGCATTCCCGGGCTGCAGAGATCTCACACACACTCATTGCTACTGCCCTTCGTGACTGGACCAGGATTGGGTGTCAGTCACACACACACACACACACACACATAGACACAGAGTGACACAGAGACAGAGAGAGAGAGAGACGGGGTTAAAAAAAAAAGGAAATTAAAATAAATGCAAGTGTTTTGCAATCTTTTCACGGGGTTTTTGGGGGGCATTTAGATGATCCAAGCCAAATTTTGAGTGCAGTGTTTGAATGACTTATACCCACTTATTTTAATCCCCCCCCCCCCCCCCCCCACACACACACACACTCCTCCCCTCCACATTCACTCACTCACACTCACAGCGGTTCAGAAATCAATGTCTCAGCAGTTTTAACTCACTGATGTGTCTCCCCCCCCCCCCCCCCCCGTTT